ATCCTGATCCCTAATGTTAACCTCAGACCCCCGACCCAAAGACCCCTGGTGGCGCAACCCGGAAAAGCCGCGGGCGGCAAGGACTGACGCGAGGGGGGTACCTGATGCGTCAAAATTGGACGCAAAGGGACCTTTGAAAAACGTCAATATGTGACGACTCGGGAGTGAGAATGTGTTGATTTAGCCTGTGTTTGAGGTTTAAGCAACTGCTTTAGCAAATTTTATCTTTAAAGGTCAAGAAATGACTGATTTATAAGGCATTTTGTATGTATTTTGGATAATTTTGTGCTTTGGTACATAAAATATTTTGCTAACAGACATTTTTACACATTATTTTTGTCATTTGTGAGACTTGAATACTGTAATAAAGTGGATCAGTTGTTCTAAAGATCTTTCACACTTGTCTGAGCACACTGAGTCTGACCTTTGACCTTTTTAAGGCCTGTAGAGTCTGACCTTTGACCTTTTTAAGACCTGTAGAGTCTGACCTTTGACCTTTTTAAGGCCTGTAGAGTCTGACCTTTGACCTTTAACAGAGGCCTGTAGAGTCTGACCTTTGACCTTTAACTAAGGCCTGTAGAGTCTGACCTTTGACCTTTAAATGAAGCCTGTAGAGTCTGACCTTTAAATGTTTCTCTGTAGAATAATGGACTCTAAATGACCTTTGACTTGATTAGGTAGGTAGAAATTAGGTAGTAGGTAGGTAATTAGGTAGAAAATTGGCTGAATTAAATATGTTTGTATGAACCTGTGATATCTATCTGCTACAGGAAAGACACTGACCAACCTACAGTTGGGGTGTAAACCGAGCTGCATATGGTTTGAAATGGCTGAATGAGAGCCTTTTTGTTTTTCAAAGTTAGCTTTAGCAATTAGCTTAAACTTGTGAGCAGCATTCATATTGTGTGGAGTTAGCTCTCAGCTACCAAAGGAGTTTTATGGCGGTCTTTGTGGATTTACTGCATTGCCCTGGTAACAAATGAAACCTATCTARTGTCATGTGTGACCTTTAACCTACACTGACTTTAATTCACTAAGATCTAGCTTTATACGGCTTCTTTACATAAGAACAGTGTCAGCCAATCAATGCTTCCCTGCTCTCCCTTTAAATTGAATTGGGCAGGGCAATCCTAATGAGTAACAAATATTATCCAGAGTTTCAGACTGAGATCTTTGAATGCTGAAAAGCCCTTCAAAAGACCTGGTCTACGTAGGTCGAATCCTTTGTTGACTGTGAAGACCAGAAGAAAAGTGGCCGTGAAGTTTTGGACTGTTTAAACTTCAGCCTTATTCCCGCCCTTACACCAAACATAACAGGACAGCGCTAAACAGAAGCAACAAAGATAGAAAATAGATCTAAATTAGCAAAATATTAATATATTGATATTATTAGTATTATAAATGAACTAAACTAGCTTAGAGGCAATACATGAAGAACAAGGGATCCTCCAYACAAGGTAGTTTGACGTGAATAATATTTAAAAACTCGTCTATTCAAATGACAAAAGTCTAACAACACAACCACTTCAAACTTTCAGTTTTTGTACTGATTTTGATTTAAAACTCTACTCCTGTCTCCCGTTTCGTCCACAAGAAAAAGAAATCTCCCAGTCGGACCACAACGCATCTYGGGATAGGGTGGGCTGAAAAAGATCCACCAGACCCGTCTCTCAAATCAGGGTAAAAGGAGGACAGATTTGTGGGCCGCGATTGGAGGAGCCTTTGAATTTGGACAGCCTTCAGCGCATCGCTGTGACGTAATCAGCCTTTGAAGGATGCAGCCTCTGAATTTGGACACAGTATACGTTGTACCTGTTTTGGTCAAACCTTGAGAATAAATTAGATTCAGTGTTTTGTGTGATCTGTTTTAGCATGCAGTTTGTGTTGTTGTGAATGACTCTCGGCTACTACCACACCAAAACCGAGCTCAAAATGTGTCAAACTGACCGAGTTCGAGCCATATTTGTGTAGCTGTTGCAGCCATTCTAAACAGAGTTGACCAAGCATTCACAGATGTCAGTCTAATAATTACTTTCTGAATGTGTCATTGAAATTTGTTTGCAGTTTTGGTGAAAACTATCAGACTGCCTTTGTGAGAATAATAAACTGGAAGTATCGCTCCTCAACAAACACACTAACAAAGGGCGGGTCTCACCTTTTAGTCCCATAAATCCAAGCGACAGACAGATTTTCCAGGATGACCACCACAGTGAGAGGCAGACCGGCCGAGTAATCATCAAACATGGTGACAAAATAATTTCCTGACCGCTGAACGAACAGCAGGCCACACAGGAAAGCCACGATGCAGCAACACACTGGAACAACAGGCGGGAAGAAAGCATTGGTACAAAGTTTTATGGTGAGGGAGGCACACAATCATGTGAGGAGTACCTGTGAAAAGCTCCTTCTGGACCTTGTAAGCGTCCAGGACAGGCGTGGTGATGCCGGTCATGGTGCCGATCATGCTGCCCAAACCCAGGTTGATAAGCATGAAGAAGAACATCACTGACCAGAAAGGGGATGCTGGGAAATGGGTCATGGCCTCTGTAAAGGCGATGAAGGCCAGACCAGTGCCCTGGACAGCCTGCAGAGAGTCAATCAGTGCCGTGAGACGACGTCTACGCTGCAGATTCAGGTGATTTACCGTGTGCCAAAGGAACACTCACCTTGTTGAGCTCATCCTCCAGGATACAAGGCTCTAGACCCAACTGGGCGAAGCCATCTTCCTTTACGGTCTTGATGACGCTGTACACCTCAGCGTAGTCCGACGTGGTGAGATGGGACAAGTTAACGTGCGGAGGGATGAGGTCGTGGCTCAGGACGTTAGAGTTGAGATACCCCAGGATCTTTTCTCCATTTCTGCAGAAACAAAACAGCACACATCACATARTCAAAGATATCGTTGAGTTAAGCTAAAACAAAAATTCACCTAATTGTCTTTTTGAAGACGTTGAAAGCAGAAACATTAATGAACTAAACTGTGAAGCTAACTTGAACAACTTTAACATGGCAGGAAATGAAATATGTCATTAAAAGGACATATTTGAATCCTTTTTGGCTTTGTTAAAGATGTTTAACTTACTCTGAGACACACTTTTCATTCATGATGTTCGCCTTGAAGCCCAGCACAGCAAACACCACCAGCGTAGCTAAGATGGAGGTGAAGAAGTTGATGAAAGAGACRAGCACGGCGTCAAAGTGACAGTTGTTGTCTATCTTATTGTAGCTGGAGAAGGCGATGACCCCTCCGAAACCCAGACCYAGGGCGAAGAAGACCTGGGTGGCTGCTTCCCTCCAAACCTGGGGCTCCAACATCTTCTCTAGCTAAAATAGAAAAATGATGTTATATACCATTAGCTTTAAGCCAGCTTCTTAGTTGGAAATAACTTAGAAAAGACACATAAGATTATGAAGAAGTGTAAAATAAAATGTTTAAAAAATGTCACTAACACATTTTATTGTTATTTAGCACACTCTTCTTACATTTTGCTATTTTTACTAAATGATAAATTTAAACATTATTATGTAAATATTAAATCCTAAATCTAAATGTGTAACTCTCAATGTAAAAGTTAAATCTTAACGTTGTGATTACGTTTACGTAWAAGTATTTCATAATGGAATGCAGCCTTTGCTGTTGGTGCACGCCTCTTATTAGGGCATCATCATTCGAAGACAAAAGCAACCACTAATGAATGATGCTAAGGCTGCTGAAGATGGCATCCAYCTATCTTTTACCTGCTTCTTCCTTTCAGGGTCATGGAGGTAACTGTGCGAGGGGTGGGGTACACCCTGGACATGTTAGTCCATCACAGGAGCCACATAGAGATAAACCATTCTCACTCGCACCTAGGGACAATTTTAGTTACTAATTTGCCCAACACACATGATTTTAATGGGAGGAAACTGGAGAGCCCGGAGAAAACCCACACATGTACGGTGAGAACATGTACACGCTACCCAGAAAGGTCCCTGGCTGAGATTTGATCCGGTAACCTTCATGCTGAGAGCTATCATGTCTACCAACAGAGCCACTGTGCGACCCTGCTGAAGACGACATTTATAAGTTCAAAATGTGTTCATTGAAAACAATATGGATGGTGCCTGTGGTCAGGACGTTTGGAGGGCAGCTCAGACACCAGCCAGAACTGCAAGTTTGGTGTCTTGTAGGAAAACATTAGCAGATTTAGCAGCTTTGGCAGTGTTAGCAGCATTAGCAGTGTTAGCAGATTTAGCAGCATTAGCAGTTTTAGCAGATTTAGCAGCATTAGCAGTGTTAGCAGCGTTAGCTTTTGTTTTTGTCTCAGAACGATGACGTCCTAACAAGAACCGCGCAAAGGTAACAAAGGCTGTGTTCCATTCAGAAATACTTAGGTGTTAACTTCAACATTTAACCAGAACATTTAAAATTTACTCTTTACATTTAGATTTACACATTTTAGATTTAGGATTTAATATTTACATATACATGTTTTCTCCAGGTACTTTRTTCTCCACAAACCAAAAACATGACTGTTAGGCTAATTGATAATTGTGGTTGTGAAGGAAATTTTRTAACTGATTAAATGAATATTAGATTCAGTTTTGTATTTTTTATACTTTCTGATATTTCAGCCTGTAAAGTTAAAACAGACAAAGAGTTGGTGTGTGTCTTATCATGTGTTCTTTCTTTAGTCTAAACAAAATGAGTTACGTTCTGACGTCTGACATAAAAGGTAACACCTCCAGGGRTGTAACCAGGAAGAGRTGRACATTATRAGGTCAGTTCATTATTATAGTAGTAAGAAGTTGTCAGTGTGTTACAGAGTCTGCTCAGAGCAGAGCTCATSTGTTTTGTTTTGGTTCAGTCCAAGGTCTTACGCTGAGGCCTGTGTGCTGTACTGTGAACCTGATTGGAGTCAGAAGACTGAAAATAAAGTTTTAACAAGAAATCCAGCTCATTCCTGTTTATTCGGGCATACCAATTTGAACAATGCATATTTTTCCTACAGTTGTTTGTCTTGTTTGTCTATGTATGTGTCCCTGTGATGGACTTGTGCGTTGTCCAGGGTGTAACCCCTCCCCTCACAGTGACCCCCGTGAACCAGAAATGAAAAAAGCAGGTAAAACATAATGGATGAATGGATATTTAGATACGGTATTTAACATTTAAATTGAACTGGTACAGATTAAAAAAYGTAAGAACAGTGAGCTAAATAATGAAAATGTGTTGGTGACATTTTTAAAAATCATTTTATTTCACACTTGGCGCCCCACATAAGTCGTCACCTTTGGAGTGAACATATGAGCGATCCCATCCACTGATCCCTTCAGCATTAACCCTCTGACCATGAAACAGAAGAGCACCACGTAGGGAAAAAGAGAGCTGAAGTACATCACCTGTGGAAGTAGAAGAAAAAAAAATACTCTCAAAACAGGTAAACCATTTGAGTTTAATCTCCCTCCATCCCACAAACCTACCTTCCCAGACGAGGCGATTCCTTTGATGACGGCGAGGCAGACGATGATCCAGGCCACCAGCAGCGACAGGGTCATTTTGACGTTGAGACCGCCGCTCTCTGCGATGGTGCTGGTCGTGTTCAGTGTCTGCCGGTACCAGAAGTAGGTCGTGGCCGAGCTTTTCTCACACTCTGGCTCCACAACTGGGACGCAAGGGAGAGGAAATGGAAAAGTTACACAGGACAAGAAATTCTGATTTTGAGGCAAACTGTAACCTTTGCATTCTAAATCTGCATTATGTGTAAACGGTCTTATATCAAACTAAATGTTGACATGTTGTCATCAGTGGCTGTCATTTTCTTCCCTGATCACTGTAACTGGATTGCACAATGTTGCACTGAGGGCGACCTCGCTAATTATTGCTCCTGTTTCAATATTTCAACCAGAAACCATGTTAAGTCAAATTCAACATGGATAAATCACACAATTTTTTCAAGGGACCCCTATCTGTGAAGAATATTATTTTACCTGCATTTGTTTCAAATAATTTCTACAACCTGAAACATCAAAATATGTTTTTTCCTCTACAGAATGGTAAAAAGGATTTAGTGCGTGTTGACGCTCATCTTCATCACTTGACACATTTCACACGCTATCATTGGTTAAAAAGTTTTGTTTACTAAACAAATGACCACATATTTTTAAAAATGGTATTCATTTCCTGACTTTATAAGACATGTCGGGTTGATTTGAAGCAGTTTTTTATTTATTTAATTACATTTTGCTACTTTTACATGGGATTTTGTAACATATTTTGGTTTTTAGGAAACAAGATGCTTCTGAAAACAAGCAGAAGGCGATCATATCTGAAAATTTTATGGCGATATCTTGAACACTAAGGAAGTTGAGCAAAATTTGAAAAAAGAAAAAAAAAGAAAGAAAAGGCAAAATGGTCACAAAGGCCCCACTGGTTCAGCTATGAATTACAGCAGAAATCACGAGCTGATTACTCAAACAAAAACATTCACAACTTGAGATAATCACGATTTTGGTGTTACTTTAAAAGATTTCAGATTCGATTTTGGTGTGGGATAAAAACATTTCCACATCCCTACAACAAATATGGTGACTAAAAACAGAATAGTGTCTACATTTGTTTGTTTTTGATGTGTTTCTGTTTTGATTTCCAGTTTTTCCCTCCCAAATCATTAAGAGAATATTACGATTCAACTTAAGTTACTCACTGGCATTTGTCCCGTTTCTTCTGATTGGACACTCGCTCCACGGTAGAGGATACTGGAAGGACTGGAAGAAGTAGAAGATGCTCCACCCGATGATGACGTTATAGTAGAGCCCCACGAAACCGCACACCTAAAAAGAAGACGGGAGCACAGATAAACACGAAGGAACGACGTCGTAAAGCTTTATTCTTGTGCTGTCGGATGTTTGTGAAGAGTGAGAAGAATCATCCAGATGAGACGGCAGCTGCTGTCAGTCTTCTCAAGAGTCTTGGCAGCAAGGACGTTCAGACGCTAAATAAGGTCGAAGAAAATCATGAATAATTAAAGTCTTCTCTTTTCAGCAGCAGCCTCCTGCGAGGTATTTATAGCAGCTTGTGTCCCAGTCGTGCAGCTCTGATGAAAGGCCGTGAATGAATGAAACTCAGAAGCCCAAGAAAGCTGTGCTGGAGCACATCTGCACAGATGTGGACTACGTGCTCTTCAATTAATGCTTCTGATTAGCACTACATTATGTCATTTTTTTAGTTGGATAAATAGTAAAAGTGTCATTTGTTACGTGCTGCTGTTCGCTCAAGGTACAGCGGGTAAAATAAGTATTGAACACGTCAACATTTTTCTCAGTAAATATATTACTAGAGGTTCTAATGACATGAAATTTTCACCAGATGTCGGTAACAACCCAAGTGATCCATACATACAAAGAAATCAAACCATAAATGTCCATAAATGAAGTTATTTGTAATAATGTGGAAGGGCACAGGGAAAAAAGTAGTGAACACACTTACTG